GCACCTTTCATGTGCAGTCAGTATTCTACTTACTCTGCAGGTGAATGCTCATTTGTGCTTTTTTGTTGATGTTCTTTTTGGTGGTTCCCTTTTGTTTTTTTTGTCACTTGCTGGGAATATCATGGGAGCTCCTCATGGATTCTGGCCCCTAGTAGTGGCTGTTGACATTCATGCACACATTTGCCCTCTCCCCTCCCCACCCTTCTCTTCTCCTCTTTTCTTTTCTTCCCTGCCTTCTCCCTCACTCCCCCTTTCTTTTGTGCTGGGGGTTGAACTCAGGGCCTTGTGCAAGTGTGGTACCACTGAGCCCATCCCCAGTTCACTTTTCTTTCTTTTTGAGGTTTCTTTGATGAGAAGTTCTCATTTGCAGAATAGTTGTTTATACCCAGTCTTATGTTTAGTATTTTAACATCACATTTGAGAGACCTTTCCCAATTTCAAGTCATAAAGAGGTGCTCCTATATTTTCTGCTGAAAGTTTATTTATTTATTTATTGCAAAGTAGTAGAGTGAGAGTGAGAGAGAGTGAAAGCAGAAAAGTATACTCCCCTATGAAGGGAGGCATGGGCTCTGAGCAGGGTGACTTAAGAGGAGCACCTAGAGCTCGAGAGCCTCTGCTCAGAGTTTTTAAAATTTGCCTTTTGTATCACATCCAGAATCCTCTTGGAACGAACTTACTTTTGAGTCTTGTGTGAGGGAAGGAGAAAATCGCGCTTCTCCTTTAGACAGTGTTGTCTCAACCCCATTTATTGAATATCTCCCCCGCCCTGTCTGCAGTACGTCATCTCCTCCACTGGCACTAAGCTTTCCAGTCTGCAAAGGCCCATTTCTGGGTTCTTGTGGTATGCCACAAGGAATAGTTGGACATGTGCAGATATTCAGCTATTGGACTATGGAGTGAGTGGGAATCATTCTAAGTGTTCCAGCGTGGGAATCACTTGAATGATGCAGTGCAGTTCTCTGTAGCTGATCAGAGTACATCTACTAATATGATTTATACTGATAATACATCATGACAAAAAGAATAGTGAGTTAAAGTATACTATGTATACTATGATTCCCTTTTATAAAAAGTTAAGAAACATGTAAGTTAAAAAATCTACCATCTTTGCTTCCTATTTTGCCTTGTGTCGCATTTGGTGTGCTATGTGGCTTTGTTCTGTCTGGTCACTAGGCACACTGGGTGACCTCCACCCAGCCCTCACTATGACCAACCTTTACTTATGACCTTGCTGCTGCACTTGACATCACTGACCATCTTCTCTACGAGGTCTCTCTTTCAGTTCTCCAGTTTCCTCCCCTCCTTCTTTCTGCTCCATGTAGGAGTTCCTGTTTCCTTAGGCCTCCTTGAATCTCACACCTTCTCACCTTGTCAGACATCTCTTCAGAAACCCTTCTTTCCTGAAGACTTGTGAACTGGCTGTTGGCTCTGCCCCTAACTTCCTAGCTGTCCTCAAGCTGTAGACTCAGCACATCCAAAATGAAACCCACATCCTTCTTCCCATTGAGCTGGACACTGTGGAGTCCTTGGGATTTCTGTCCAGATTCCTCATCTTTTTAAAGTAGACTTCTGAAGTTCAGCTTCCTGATAGGGACCCCTGTGACCGTCATGATAATGGTCAGGCAATGATCTGGTACCATCTTGCTTTTCCACCCCCTACTGGGCTGTCTGCAGCCAAGGAGCAACTTGGAGGTTCAGCACCCAGCCCCTCTGCTCTGGCCTGTTCAGATGCTTGCACATCTCCTAAGATCTGCTGTGTGCAGCCTTTCCTTGGAAGGCCATTACCCACATCTCCTGTACCCTGTGTCCACAAGCACCCCCTTTTATACTTGTCTGTTCTTTGAGCTGCTCTTTGCTGCTGGCTATGTGTTTGAGGAAGAGAGGCAAGCAAGGGGAGAGCCTCATGCTGAGTCAGGGCCCTCACTGGTCCCTTTTAGAGGACACCTGGCAGGCTTTGACCAGTGATCCAAAGGACTTTCTTTGTCCACTGGTTTGAAGCCCTCTTCAGGGGCATTTCCAGAGCTGTCTTTTTAAGTAGAGACCCCTGAAGACTTCTGCTCTCCCTGTAGAGGTACCATGTGGTCTTGGGCCTGTGGACTGGGTGTGTGTCTGTCCTTTGAGTAGATGACTGTGGCTCCCAGGCTCATGATTAGCTCAGCTCTTTACAGTGCTGGTTTCCTCACTCTGGTTCCACCCCAGGTCCTGCCTCAGGACTAAACTCTACATACAGTTGGAAACGTTGGAGTGTTAACTTTTCTACTTGCTGCTCTTTATCTGATGGGCGGCCAAGTGTTTTCTTGGTGTCCGTGTGAGTTACGGATTTGTCTCTGATCACTAGTGAGGTACCCTTGTGGCTTGATTCATAGTTGGCCCTTCTGTGGGCACAGAATTGAGGGAAGGTGTGGGGCCTGGACCCTGACTCCTGCCCTCTCTGCTTTCAGGAGGGCTGCCAGCCCAGCAGCATTTCCTGTGGGGCCTCTCATAGACCGCCCAATGCAAAACACAGCACATGGTTTTGGGGTGTTATTTTCTTGACCACTTTTAGTTCATTGCTTTTGACTGAGTACTGAAAAATATTCTGCAGCATATCTATAGTATTCAGGAGCAGTGAATCAGGAGAAGAAATGCAGTTTCTGAAAAACCTTCAGAGAAGTATTGGTCTTTATCTTTTCCCCAGCTTCTTCCGCTGAAACCCACCAGTCTTTTTCTGTGCACGCTTGTTCTATAAATAGAACAGTAGGTCTCCTTGGGCAGCCTGAGATCTCAGGCTCTCATCCGCTTTCTGAAAGATGTGTGTATGGGGGTATGTGTGTTGGAGTAGATTGATTTTAATTTTGTTTTTTCTTTTATGAGTAGCGGTAGATGCAAGAAAAAATACTCTAGCATCTGCCCTTTGAAGATAATTTATAAACTTTTCTGGTTTTGGCTTGTTGGTTTTGTTGTCTTTTTTTTAACCTTAAAATTTGCATATAGGAAAGAAATGGAAGCAATTTCTTCCCCTATAGAGGTAAGGAAAATAAGTGTGTGTGTGCGGGAATGAGGGGGGCTGGTGGTGAGTAGGCGTCTGCACAGAGTGAGTCCTTTTTGGTCTACAGAGTGGATCTCTTTGTATGTTCCAGGCATCCATGGACTGATGTTGTGTACAGATGTATTGACATGAGTGTCACCCATGTGTACTTGGATCTGGAAAGGATGCTGAGAGCAAACCTGGTTCCCAGTCCTTTCATGCTGCAAGCTGGCTTGTGTCCTAGCTTCTAGGTCCTTGTTCTGTTTCAGCGTCAGGCCCCGCATGGTAGTGACTGAAGCCTGATGTGTGTTTCCTGGGATTGTGGGATAATGTTGGATTCTTTTTTTCTTTCTTCTGGGCACTCTTTGATTCCCTAGTAAAAAGGGTGGGTTGCCTCTTCAGAAGTAGGAGGTAAAGGTGCAAGTCACACACGAGAAAATAGATTTGCCAGTTTTTCCCCTGGGCCAATATCAGGGACTTGGAGAGGGTGGCTGATGGCAGCACCAGTTGGAGCAGACTGTATGCTAGTGGGCTTATGGCAGTGAGTGGGGAGCCTCTGGAGTGGTGAGTGCTGGCATGTGCAGCCTACCCTGCCCAGGAGAGGCATGGGGATGACACCCCAGGACAGGAGGAGGAGAGGAGACCCTCTTCTTAGGTACTGTGCTCTGGCCCTGTGCTGCTGGGCCTGGCCCTTTATGTCTGGTGGATAGGGTTGGGACTTGCTTCAGGATTCTTCTCTGTCGCTCTCTCTCCACTGTGATGAGCAGGTTGGTGGAGGTCCAGGCAGGCCAGCTTGCTGCTCTTATACCCTGGCACATTTGGGTGACCTGAGGTTTCTGTGTGTGGTTCACCTAGTTTTATCTTAGGAAGTTTTAAGTAGGCCTGGATGCCTAAGTAATTTATTTATATACTGCTTTTAAAAGTTACTTAAAGTGCAATCATAATATGCAATTGCAGAGGCTCCTTGTGGAATGGATATTTGCTACGTGTAATGTACAGGAAAGTACCAAATACTGAACTCCAAGTCCTTGTTTTCCTGCATGTTGTTTATTTTTTAAAAAAATTATTTATTTTTTTGCAATGCTAGGGTTGAAACCCAGGGCTAGGCAAGTGCTCTGCCACTGAGCCACACCCTCAGCCCATTTATTAGTTTTGATTGCATTAGTAGCTCTGAGTGGTTCAGAATGTCTTGTGTCTGAGTAGTTCCTCGAGCAGTTGGCTTCCAAGTGGCTGTTCAGGGCTCAGTGACCATTAGGAGTCTGGCTTGTGAGGAGACTCTTGCGAGGAGAGAGGACAGCTCCAGAGAAGCTGTGCCCCTCTGTTCTTGCTCTGACCAAGCCAGGGCGAATTCTGGGTTCTTGGGAGAGAAGGAAGCTTCTCCCCACACATGGCACATTGTGAGCTCATCAGCATCATGGAATGGGACAAGCCTTGGGGCCTTTGGCTGTGGCACTGTTCTCTCTGTAGGTGCAGAAGTCTGCATTGGTCTGTGAGTGGTGCAGAGGGCCAAATGGAACCCTGGCCTGGAGCCGTGCTGAACCCAGAGCAACGGATGTAGACACTTTTGGCAACAGGATCCTGAGAAATGGCAGGAGGCCAGAGAACACAGAGACAGGGCCAAGAATAGCTGAAAAATACCAAATGCTGCAGTTGGAGAATGTGCTGTGCCTCATTTGTTTCCCCAGCTGCTGCTCTCTGCGGTCCTGTGAGCCTCAGTTTCCCCTTTGCTAATCTGCACACTGCGGGCCTCTGACACCCCATCCCGTACAGGCACTCTGATGCCCCTTGGAGAATTGCTGTGCCCCCTACTACAGCGGCAGTGCTTAGCCTGAGATAGGTTAAGGTCTGTCAGAGTATGAGAACTATTTTCTGGTAGGTTGCTTGGCCCCTCAGAGGTATGATTGCTCATGGCCATGACAGGGTGTGTTTCAGCTGGATAGGTGAAGGGGCACTTCAGAAACACAAGTTCATAAGTATGTTTCTGTACTTTCAGACCATCATCAAAGAGGGTATGCTGACCAAACAGAACAATTCATTCCAGCGATCAAAGAGGAGGTACTTCAAGCTTCGAGGGAGAACTCTGTACTACGCCAAAACTGCAAAGGTGAGGCATAGTGAGAGGAGCACCCAGGTACCACTGTTAGGGCACTGAGTGCTCATGGGCAGAGAGCTTCAATTTGCAGACCAGTTATTTCAAGCCAGTTTTGTAATACTCTAGGGTGTCAGGTTTTATTTGTCTCAAAGCATGTTTTATTGCTTATAAAAATTATTTTTGTTCACTTTCCTTTTCTGTAAAAATGGAAAAATGGTCACAGAACTAACCACATTGCAGTTGGATATCTTTCTTTCAGCAAGATGGGGGATGTCTACCATGGACTAAAAGTTGTCTTGAAGTCATTGGGCTTCTTTTCAACTTCAGCTGTCTTTCTGGGTGCCTGCTGCAGGAAAGACTTAAAGCTGGACTCTCTCTCCAGATGGAAGGAGAGCCAGTGAGCATCACTGATCCTGCCCTGGCTCAGTGAATGTGGTGTCAGACGTGTTAAACATTTATTGGCGGGGACTCTCAACACCTGTGTTTTTGTCTCAGCATTAGTGGCAGTACTGCTATTTTGGCATTAAAATGGAATCATTTTGAGATGCATCCTTAGAGAGTTAGTATGCTAAAATCTGAAACAGAACAAAGCAATTTGTTTAGAAAGGGTTCTGACCACAGTCCTCATTAAAAAAAAAAAAAAAAAAAAAAAAAAAAACCAACCCTGAAGTTATTTCAGTCTTGTTGGAGGGGGGAAGGGTAGGTTACTTAAAAGGTCAAACCTGTTCTTTTAGTTATTAGCATTTCTTCCATCTTAGAATAGAGGCAACAGTAAGGTAAAGGGTGGGGAGAGGAGGGTGGTAGGAGCTATACTGGGGGAGAGAGGAGAGGAAAATGGGCAGGGGGTCCTCATCTCCAGGGCTGATTCCTAGCCCTTCTTGGAGCCTGGCTAGATTCCTTCTGCTCAGCTCTCTGGTTTTTCTTACAGCCGGATCCCTTCTATTAGAGCTTGTCTATTTTTCCCTAGAATAATTTATTTTAGCTGGGACTCCCCCTCTAAATGTGCTGACTGGAGAAACTAAAGCCAGAAGAATGGAGGATTCTGTCTGGACCCAGGGTGCTTTCTCTCAGGGGGAACATTGAATGAGGGCATACTTAAATTTAAAAGCGAAACACTGGTATTAATGGTAGAATTTGGTACAAAGAATAAATACAGAAATATCAGCACTTTTTGTTTTGTTTTTGATTCCAATGCAATTACTAATGAACTCCATGGATTAAAACAAAATCATGCAATACCCCCGTGAGATCCATGTTCTGCATGAGAAGCAGTTAAGATGAAGGCACTAATTCGACATTGACTTATTGATCAGATGCCACAGTTTCAAGGACCCTGTGTTTGTGGGGATGGATGGGGAGAATGGTGGACAGCACTGGCCAGTTTGTGATGTTCTTGTCTTGGTGTGCCTGAGTTTGTGTTTGTCTTTCTCCAGTCGATCATATTTGATGAGGTGGACCTGACAGATGCCAGTGTGGCTGAATCCAGCACCAAAAACGTCAACAACAGTTTCACGGTGAGACTCTAATTCATGCTTCTGATTGTTCACCACATTTGCTTTCCTTTTTGATTCAAATAACGGATATTTTCATCTTGTTCTTTCTGATTGGAACAGTTCCTGGTAATATTTGAATCTAATGCTGGAAATAAAGCTGTAGTTTCTCAGTTCTTGGAGAACAACTGAGAATTTGGTAATATAAGCACAAAACAAGAAAGCCCAAGTGAAAAATTTAATATTATGGCTTATATATAAACAGTTTTATACAGTTCTTTAAAGTTTTTTTGTGATAGTGTAGAAAATTTGGAAAATACAGGGAGGTATTATAAAGCAATTGAGAAGCTGCCATAATTCAGCCACTGTAACATATAGTATTAGTATTTTGGTATATTTCTTTTTGTTTATTACATTGAATTTTTTTCCCTTCCGAATTTTTAAAAGCCCTGTAGTACTTTCAGGAAAATTTCCAAGGGCATAGTCATTCTTACCTCTCAGAGGCAGCCAGCTGCTCACTGCAGAGAGTTTGTCTTTTTTTCATACTGAGTTTTAAATTCAGGACCTTATACTTGCTAGGCAGATTCTCTATCTTGAGCCACACCTCCAGCTCAAGAGTGTTTGACTTTATTTCTGTATATCTGTGTCTTTACCTACATACACTTAGAAATCATACTGGTGGTTTTTTTTTTTTTTTTTTTTTTTTGGTGGAACTGGGGTTTGAACTCGGGGCTTTGCACTTACCACACTCCCTGTCCATTTTGCTCTGGTAATTTTGGAGATGGAATCTTGAGAACTGTGTTCTTGGGCTGGCTTTGAAACACTATCCTTTCTTTCTCAGGCTCCTGAGTAGCTAGGATTACAGGCATGAGCCACTGGCGCCCAGGTGAAACCATACTGATTTCTTTTCACCTGTTTTTTCCCTCTTGACAATATTTGATAGACATTTCCTCATGCTGGGTGGTCGAAATATGCATAATACTGTGTAATGGCTATACAGCATTTTCTTGTATGATTTTTATAATGTTGGCTTCATAGGCTGACTTTAGAATTTATCTGTATAATTTCAGCATTAGCATCTTTAAAATATGTATTTTTTATTTTTAAACTATCTCATAGACAGAAAGCATTTGCTCCCTAATTTTAAGAATTATTCTTTTATAGTTCAGTATATCTGGTGGTTAATTTTCCTCATGTTTGGGATCTGAAGATTTTAGGTAGGTATTAGTTTGAGGTCCTTTTAGGTTTTGCTTCATCTGGATTAATTGTTGATGTTACTGATAAAAATGACATTTCCCTCTATTTAAACCTGTACTTATCTTGTTGATGTAACTGCTCTTGATTTTACTTTGTGGCTTATTTATTAGTCAGGCTTTCCTGATGATTTCTCTTATTTTGTTCCCTGTTTTACTAGGAGTATTTGTACTTTTTCTCCATGGATTTTATTTTTTTACCTACTGGCTGGGGAGAGACATTTTACTTATTTATTTGTTTGTTTAGACAGGGTCTCCCTGTGTAGCCTAGGCTGGCCTTGAACCTACCTTGTCACAGGCTGGCCTCAAACTCATGCTTTTCTTACCTCCTGAGGGCTGGGATTGCAGGCTGCTACCATGCCTGGGTTGTATTTTCTAATAGTAAATCATTCCTGATAATGTTAAATTTTTCTCTGCAATTTTGTGTTTCGAAAATTCTCATCAGTACATATGCTTTTATTATGTTGGGGTGTGTGTGTGGTGTGTGTGTGTGTGTGTGTGTGTTGATGGGACTGGGGTATGAACTCATGGACTTGGGTTTACAAACCAGGAGCTCTACTGCTTGAGCCATGCCTCCAGTCCATTTTGGCCTGGTTATTTTGGAGATGGGGTCTTGCAAACTATTTTCCAAGACTGCCCTGGAATTTTGGCAGCCTCCCAAGTAGCAAGGATTATAGGTGTGAACCACCGGTGCCTGGTTGTTTTTGTTGTGTTTTGATTTCAGAATTAAACTAGCTTCATAAAATTCAGTAACTTTCCATGAGTTTATGTATTATGAAGCATTTTGTATAGCTTTGAGATTGGCTGTTTCTTGAAAGTATGGGAGAACTTATTTCAAGTACCCTGTCATGAAGATTTCTCAGGGAGGTAAGACTGTGACTGGTCACTTTCCTGATGGTTTATTCCTTGGTTTTTAATTATTCTTGCCTTATTACTTTTTCAAAAACATTATTAGCATATGAGAGTTGTATAGGGGGATATATTGTGATATTTATATATGTCCTTACAGTATATCCTAGTTAGATTTATCCCCTCTACCTTTCTCCCTCTTCTCCCTTCCCCCTCCTTAGAACAATTTCAACAGGTTTCATTCTTCTATTTTCATATATGATTATAAAGTACATCCACCATATTCACTCTTATTCGCCCTTTCCTTATGCCCACATACGTCCCAGCATTTTTACTTCGTGAGTCCATTTCTGTAATTTACATTCTTTCTAATTCCACACCTTCAGAGTTGAGTGGCATGTGCTCTAGTGGTTTTAAACATCTATATCTTTGGTCAGATTCCTTTTTCATTACTGATTTTGTTAAGCTTGTTTTTTTTTTGCCAAATTTCTTAAAACCTAGCATTTAAAAATTTTCAGAGCACCAGTTCTTTTTTTTTTTTAATTTTTATTTTTTTATTATTCATATGTGCGTACAATGCTTGGGTCATTTCTCCCCTCTGCCCCCACCCCCTCCCTTACCACCCACCCCATCCCCTCCCTCTCCCCCCAACCCCCTCACTACCCGGCAGAAACTATTTTGCCCTTATCTCTAATTTTGTTGAAGAGAGAGTATAAGCAATAATAGGAAGGAACAAGGGTTTTTGCTAGTTGAGATAAGGATAGCTATACAGGGAGTTGACTCACATTGATTTCGTGTGCATGTGTGTTACCTTCTAGGTTAATTTTTCTTGATCTAACCTTTTCTCTAGTTCCTGGTCCCCTTCTCCTATTGGCTTCAATTGCTTTTAAGGTATCTGCTTTAGTTTCTCTGCGTTGAGGGCAACAAATGCTAGCTAATTTTTTAGGTGTCTTACCTATCCTCACCCCTCCCTTGTGTGCTCTTGCTTTTATCATGTGCTCAAAGTCCAATCCCCTTGTTGTGTTTGCCCTTGATGTAATGTCCGCATATGAGGGAGAACATACGATTTTTGGTCTTTTGGGCCAGGCTAACCTCACTCAGAATGATGTTCTCCAATTCCATCCATTTACCAGTGAATGATAACATTTTGAGAGAACCAGTTCTTAGATAATTGATGATTTTCACTTTTTTCTTCCCTTCCTCCCCTTCCCTCCCCTCCCGTCCTCTTTCTCCTTCTCTTGAGACAGGGTCTTGCTCTGTGCTTCAATTCATTATGTAGCCCAGATTGGCCTCAAATTTGCGACCTCATGCGTCAGCCTCAATGCTCGGATTGCAGGTGGGCATCACTGTGCCCACCTTTCTCTGTTTTCTAGTTCAGTTTCTGCATTTATGTGTTATTTTTCTGCTTTGCATAACTTTTTTTTTTTTTTTAGCAATTTGTGAGTTGGCTTATTTTTACTTTTTATCATTTGTACACATATATAAATGAAAGCACAAGGGACTTTGAATTTAACTGAGTATCTTTCTGCTCACATTCCAAAGGTTGTTTTTTTACTCAATAGAAAAAATGTTACTTAAGCCAAATTACTTTACTCATCATTGAAGTAATTGAAGAAAAATTTGAAGTATATTAATATAAATAGGAAATTTAAACCAGCCCTATTGTTAATGTCCAAAGATACCCAGCAGTATGCTTTGGTTTATCTGATTCCCATCAACTACGTTTTATCTTTGGAAATGTTGTTAATGTTGTAATCATGTAAGTTTATGTCTGTTCACCCATCTTTTACCATTGACATTTCAGTTTTCCTTACAAAATATTATTGTGAGTCTCACTTGTACAGATCTTTTTATGCATTTCTGATAATTTCCATAGTACAAAGTTTAGAATGGAATTGAAAAAACTTTTGAAAAACAGTGAAGATCTGATACATGCTACAACTTGGATGAGCCTTGAAAGTGTTAATGCTAAGTGAAAAAAGCCAGACACAAAAAAGTCACGTATGTTATGATTTCATGTATGTGAAATGTCCACAATAAATCTATAGGCAGATCTATAAGTTCAGAAACATTAGCAGTTGCCAGGGCTGTGGGGCTAATTGGTTTGGGATATTTTTTGGGGGGTGACGAAATATCCTAAAATTAGAAATATCCTAAACTTTTTGAATATGCTAAGACCACTGAATTACACATTTAAAAAGGTAGATTTTTGTGTAAATTATATTTTAGTTAAAATTGTGGAACAAATAGCATGGTGCTATACTTGTGATACTCCAGGGTTACATCGTGAGTTTTGTGTACCAGTTGGAAAGCACCTCAATTTGCATGTTGTCCCTATGGACAAGTGTTTCCTGATGGGGTTGCAGGGCCAGCCCCTACTGGAAGTCTCTGCTGCTGGACCTCCATTCATCTGGAATAGTCTGGGATGATGGCAGCCCTCCACCCAGGCAGAGGCACTGACTCCTGCCCATCATTTTTTTATTTTGAGGGGCACTGAGGGCCTTCTGTTTATTTTATTATTATTGTTAAATGTTTGTTTAGTTTTTAGTGACTTTATTAGCATATCATAATTGTATAGGGGGATACATTGTGGTATTTATGTATGTGTTTACAATATATCTTAGTTGGATTTACCTCCTCCATAGTTCTCCCTCTTCCTACCTCCTCCCTTCTTAGAACAATTTCAACAGGTTTCATTCTTCTGTTTTCATTTATGGATACAAAATGCATCTACCATATTCACCTCACTCCCCCTTTCCTTGTGTCCATCCCTGTCCCATTGGTACCCACCCTTGAAAAAGATGCCTTTCTGCCCTTCATTTTTAAAAATTAAGTGTATATTGATAGTCCAGGGGGGTTTCTTCTTGGTTCCATTTATTTAGATGTTAGTGCTCTGAAAACTGTCTTTTTTTTTTTTTTTAA